TCGCCCCGTCTAATCAGCGGGGTGAATGCGTAATATGCCATTTAGAAAAAGATATCTGACTAATTGCTGATACTCCCTATGAAGTTTGACACTATTGCTGATCCCACTCTTTAGACACTGTTTATAAATTAGAGCAAAGCAATTATCCGGTAAAAAACAAGAGTCAAAAGTTAAAGAAATACGAACTGCCTTGAGGACCGACAACAATTCAGAATTTCAATTATTAAACTATCATGAATAAAAAACTAACCAATCAACAATTATTACGAGAACTAGCCGAGCGAATAGTAGCCGGCAAATTAGAATTAGAAAAACCCCAAAATTGAATAATAAAAGATAAAGTCCCAATAGAAATAGTTGAACTTTTAAAAAACAAAATGGGACTTTGCAATAAAGAAGGTTTTGCCTTAACTAACATCAGTGAAATCTATGATGAAAAAACTAATCGTAATCCGCTTAATTTAAACTATTTTATTGCGAAAGTTAAGAATGAAAATGAGAAAAGACATGAATAACCAACCCCAAATAGAAATCTTTGAAGAAAAATACTCCGGTCTATGACTTACCAGATGCAGTCTTTTTACTGAGTGTGGCTGTTATATTAATGGCAAATTAAGGTATGGTGTAGAAATAATCAATGGCAAGGCAAAAGGTAGGATATTCTGCCCTCGTCATTGTCCTGGGGGTGATTTATATATTAAAAAGTATCACCCCAAAAAATATGCGGAGTTGTTGAAAAAACAAGTTAAAAAATGTTGCCTGTAAAATCTGGGTTTTTGTTATCACAAAAAAAAGCAAAAATATGGAACAAAAAGTAAAAAAGGTCTAAAAGCGACAGTGAGGGCAGACATGAGTGGCCCGTTGCTCCCCGCTAGTTTTTATTAATTTTACTAGCGGGCAAATGGGAGGATATTCCTTATATTATTACCACGCTTTCATCAAGCGTCTAATTTCTAGGCTAAATTAGCCTAGTTTGGTAATGTTTTAGTCTACGACAATGGAATAATCAAAGATTATTCATTTCAGAAATAGGTTTATCCTCCCTCCATTTGGCCCATGACAAACACATGGGTCACCATAGATGATCAATTTTTATGAGTCATATTATACGAGACCTCACTCGAAAAAGGTATTGTTTATAATTTACTCGTGGCTGAGAGGCCACGAGGTTTTTATTTGTTAAAGTTTTATCATCAGATGATTAACTTGGGTTAGTATTTTATACCAGCAGGAGATTTTTATGTTTACTCCTGCCCCTGAAAGCAGTCTTTTTTCTTTTATTCTGCTTCTAAAAAATACTTTCTATTGCACGGCAGGTTTTATTTCCGGTGTTATATGGCATAAAAGTTGCTTAAGCAACTAAAATAATATATATGCGAGGTCACAATGTCAACATCTATTTTTCCGAAAAGAATTATAATAAAATCAAACCTTTAATTACGCAGAGAAAGATTAGTCAATTTGTTAATCAGGCCGTAGAAAAAGAATTAACTCAGCATGAAAAGCAAGCCAAAGCAGGATTAAGAGAAAGATTAATTGCCGCTCATCAAAGAATGGCTAAAAATAAGCAGTTAAAAAAAGAATTGGCAGTTTGAGATGAAACAGTAGACGATTATATTAAAAATGAAGAAAAATAAGAAAATACCCCAACAGGGGCAAATCTGACTAGTAAAATTCAAAAAAGCCAAAGAAACCCCCAAAACCTTCCGCCCTTGCTTAGTGATTAGTGGTAATATTCAGAATGAATGGAATGATCTAATAGTCGTAGTGCCAATGACCACTGATAATATTGATAAAGTTGAACCTTTTGAAGTTTTTATTAAGAATACCGCCGAAACCGGTTTAAAAGAACCAAGCAAAATCCAACTTATTTATCCTATGACTATTGATAAAGAATTACGCTTAGTAGGTGAGAAGTTAGGAATAGCCAACCAAAAAATCATGGAACAAGCCAAAAAGGCTTGAAAAATTGCTTTTAATATTGAAGAATGATAATATGAAAAGAATCTGCAAAATCTGCTCCACCCCTTTTACCGGACACCATCTATCCAAAACCTGCTCCCCCGCCTGCTCTCAAAAATTAAAAAAAATAAACAATCGAGAATATCAACTAAAATACCAGCGAGAACTAAGAAAGAAGACTAGTAAGCAAAAACCTCCCCAAACAGTCTCTTGTTGAAGATGTAAAAAAACCTTCAATTGAGAATATTCACCCAACACCAAAAATTATCTCGAAAGAAATAGATGGGATTATTGAACTGAGAAAGAAGAAGGTAAATATATTTGTGATGCTTGTTTGATGGCTTTTTATTACTTTGAAAAGTCTGAACTTTTAAGCCTTAAAAAAAGCAAGAGAAATACTCTTAAAGGCTATATTGGATATCACCAAAATAAATTCATTTTAAAAGAAAGTTTTAATTGTGATAAAGATTATTGATGTTATGAGTGTGGCTTGAGTGGAAAAGGAAATTGTGGGAAGAAGATAACTACTTGGAATATAGTTGATCCTTTGAAAGGGGTGCCGTGTCTTTTAAAAGAATTTGTGGGTTAGTATTTACTTCGCTTAGCCAAGTAAAAAAGTCAAAGGGGATAAGTAGAAGAGTAAAATTCTACTGCCCTGATATTATGATATCTACGAACGATTTAAAATATCAGTAAACTTCCCAATTAGTAAAGGTTCAAAACTAATCTCGTTTGTGGCACCCCTTTGACATTATAATTTTATAAAATTTAATTATGAGTAAGAGACAAGTAAAAAAACTCCCCACCAACCCTAAAAAAGAAATCTTAGCCTGTGGTTGAGCAATATCTTTTGACAAAAAAGCAAAAGGCAAAATTAATAAACTGGAATGAACTCACGAAATATTGAAAGATTGGAAACCTGGGACCGGCTTATAGACCATTTAATCAGCGTCTTTTATTACCGTTTTCGACACCAACTTAAATTACCTTTTGACAGTCTGGATAATGAGCCAGTAATTAGATTTGGTGGCTTTGTATTGGAAGAACCTTGAATTGACGAAAAAGGGAAAGTTAGAATAAGGTGCGGTTGACACAACCGTTCTCCTCATTGCCGTTTAGGAAAAATTGCTATTTTTACTCGCCATATTTACCTAAATCGCTTATTCCTTTATCACCAATTAGGCTTACAGATTTATTACTTGGACTCGGCTGAATTTACAGCCCTTTTTAACTTGGATAATTTAATCAAAATATTAGCCCATGAGTTAGGGCATGCGATATTAACTGATACTCAACCAAAAACCCAAGAGATTAACGGAGGACACGGAAAAGAGCATGACAAGATTAGCGAGGAGATTATTAAGATGATTGAGAAATCTGATGAATTTAGAGAATTAAAAAAATTTTGAAAATAATATGACCCTAGAACAAGAATTACAAGCAAAAGACCAACAAATATCTCAATTAAAACATCAACTCTACATCTTATCTTCTAAATTCCGCCAATGTAAAAAGCATGATGAAGACCCTGAGTATACTCAACGATATTTAGCAACTAAAACTGAGTGTCATGATTGTGCGGGGGATAAACTTGTTAACAAAGAAACTACTTAATTATGCCTAAAAAAGATAAAGAATTGTCGCAAAAAGAAGCAAAAGAATCCTCTCAACGCAACCTCTACCAAAAACTCACCCTAATCCAATCCCAAATCAAAGAACTAATTCGCACAGAAGAAAACAAAGGCCA